TCTCACAAGCTAAGTTTACCTCTAAACACATTCGAATTAACAACAAATAACAAAAATTTAGGTGTTCTGGATAATTTGCGCTGTAATAACAAAATTACTATCAATATTAAAAGAAAAAAGAAGCCTTTTAACTTATTTTCAATTCCGATTGTAAACAGTATAAAAACTTCTGAAGATCAAGACAAAAAGATTAATCAAATATCACAAAATGACGAAAATTTATTGTGGGCAGCCAAGTTTGCGTTGTATATGAGCAATAACATAATAGAAGAAGCAATTAAAATCATGAATTTCAATTGTCTTCAGGAAGTATTCAATCCTGTTGATGAATTTAAAAAAATGTTAGAAGGAGAGTATAAAGTAACAATTTCAGATGGAAATAAAAATAAATTATATGAGACAATTTTACCAAATGAAGAAGCTGAAGATTCTTATAGTGAGAATGATAGTGATATCGATTATGATGAAGAAAGTAAACAAAAGGATAAAAATGATTTTTCTATAGAAACTCATGATAAAGATAACAATATAAGAAAGAATTGGCCATTTCAAGATGAAGACAACGAAAACTCGGATTCTCTATTAAACAGATATTTAAGTTCCGAAGAATTCAATGAATTCAAAGAGGAGGAGAATGAACAAATTTTATTAGATGAACAAACTGCAACAATAAGTGGAGTAACTGCTCAAAATTCAAATATAAGACAAACTGCAACAATAAATGCAGTTTCATTTCCAAATACAAATCAAAGACAAACTGCAACAATAAGTGGAGTAACTGCTCAAACACAAATATAAGACAAAATGAAACAATAAGTGGAGTTTCTCCTCCAAACACAAATCAAAGACAAACTGCAACAATAAATGCAGTTTCATTTCCAAACACAAATCAAAGACAAATGCAACAATAAATGCAGTTTCATTTCCAAACACAAATCAAAGACAAACTGCAACAATAAATGCAGTTTCATTTCCAAACACAAATCAAAGACAAACTGCAACAATAAATGCAGTTTCATTTCCAAACACAAATCAAAGACAAACTGCAACAATAATGAGTTTCTTCCAAACACAAATCAAAGACAAATGCAACAATAATGCAGTTTCTTTCCAAACACAAATCAAAGACAAATGCAACAATAAGTGGAGTTCTCCTCCAAACACAAATCAAAGACAAAATGCAACAATAAATTCGGATATTCAGCGTCAAATCCCTCAGCATCAATCCTCACTACCTAATGAAACTGCTTCTTATTCTTCCCAAATTTCTAATCATTTAACCGATAATCCTCCATTAACAGATTTACAAAATACACATCTAGTGCCAAATTTTGCTTATGATTACCAAAATAATTTTTCAGCGCATAAACAATCTATTATCGTTAATAAAGCTTGCATTGAACTTATTCCTAATTATCAATCTTTTGATGATAAAAATAAAGAGATTCACCGAAAAAGAATCAAAAATATTCTGAGGACTTATCATACATTTTCAATTTCCCAATCCGCACGTATTAAATATTCATTAACCATATATACAAATGGTCATCCTTTGAGATTTCAACGTTACAATGCTCATAATAATTATTTAGAAATTATTTATTATTGCGGATATAAACCTAGATGCAACTTTTGTATGCATGTAAAAGTCTTTGATGAGAAATTAAATATTTCTCCTGAAGAAAAACCAGACAGTAAACTTCATAACTGCCGACCTGCAAAACAATCTCAAATAATTAAAGGAACAAATCCAATGAACTATGATATTGAATCTCAAGTTCAAGATTATGTTGTCAAAAATCCAACCGCAACGATATCAGAAACAAGAAAGTATGCAAATCAACTGATATATGACTGTAATCAAGCCCAGTCTACTAATTTCATTCAGATATCAGAGAAGAAAGTCCAACAGCTGTATTATGAAGTTCATCCTGTCAAATCAAAATCAGAGATTGATCTTATTAATGAAATGTTAGAATTTTTTAATCAAAGATCATATTTTATTACCCAAAGCACAAAAAATGATAATGCCTATTATTTTTTTGGATTGGAACGTTTCATTCGAGTTGCACGGTATTCATCACATTGTTTTATTGATGGAACCTTCAAAGTCGTTCCTGTATCAAATAATGAATGGCCAATTATTAAATTTGTTAATTTTTGACCAAGCAACTCAACTGTATCTACCGTTTTTACATATAATCATGACGGGAAGAACAGAAACTGATTATCAAAGAGTATTTAGTATTATGGAGTATGATACTGATATTAAAATTCCTTTATCAACATTTGATGTTATAACAACTGATTTCGAAAAAGCACTTCAAGGCTCAATTTATAAAAGAAAAGGAGAGCAAACCATATTGACTGGATGCATATATCACTTTATTGCAGCATTAGTTAAGAATTTCAAGAAAAAATGTGATCCAGAAGATCTTAACAATAAAATTCTTTTAAAGTTATTATGCGCTTCTCCATTCATGCCAGAAGAAGTTTTTGATTTGGTTTGTAATAAAATTAAATGCATTCAAGATACAAATGAATTTGCAAAATACTTTATTAAAACATGGAGCACAAGCTATAATTCAATCAGCAAGCTCAAAGTATTCGACAATATTTATTCTAATAATGGCGTAGAATCGTACAACAAAGTGTTAAATACAAATATTGTATATTCACATCCCACAATTTTAAAGACGGTACACACTTTAATGAAAGTGGATTTAGCGATTTTGCATCGATATGCACGGGCAGATAAAAACACAAGTGATCATAAACAGTCGTATTTCATTAAATTGAAAAAAATAAATGAAGAGATTCAGTTATTTGAAGAGCATTTTGGTCTGGAAATATCATTAATTCCTGAGGATATAATGAAAAAATATAAGGATTTGTCCAAACATTCTGGAATTGATTTCAGAGATATTGAAATTGAAAGGTATATGTCAAGTGATCAAATACTTGATGACATTCAAATAAATTTAGAAGAAACAAAAAATGAAAAGATAGAAAACATTGAAATTGCCGAAGATGATTTATTTCAATAATATGTAACATTGATTTCTATTCAACTTTATCGTTATTATAATAAACATTTTTATGATTTTTTTAATATTTTTTATAAGTAGATTGAAGATTATTTGATGGAAAGATGTATATATATACATAATGTACCTTACAATATCTTCATGCTATGAATTCCAGAATAATGACAAGTCTTTCATTCTTAATTAGAAGTCTCCAATATTTTGTCTATTTTTTCATATTTTTTCTATTTTTTTTCACCATTTAAAATTTCTTAAATTCTAAATATAGCAAATTATATCATTTTACTTTCTGCAACGATTTAATCGATAATTATATGAATATTATTGTAAATATTTCTAAAATATTTTAAATACAAATAATTTTAAACTGAACCAAATAAATTGGATAACTTTAACTCAATCAAATAAATATTAATATGAATTTTTATAGAAAAGCTTTATTTTTTTCTCAATTTTTAATTTCATTTCAGTCTCTAAACTTTCTTACTATGTAAAAACGTATTATTATAGTAATAAAATAAAATACATGTTTATTCGATCTCGTATTTCAAAAAAATAAAATTACTTATATAAAAAGATTCTCTTTAGTCAACTTTCTTTTTGAATCTCTAATAAGTTTTTACTGTTGCTTCTATATATTAAGTATTGGATTCTTGTAGTAAAGAAAATCCGGAACGTTTATTTATTAGAATACTCGAACTTTGACTTACATATTACTAATTGTAATTATTTTCAAGAGCTATTTCTATTACTCCTACTTATTCGGCTTAAAATCTGCTATATTGTTAAGATAAACTAAGTCTAAATTTTGAACCATTTTTTGAAGTTTAAAGTGTAATACATATCGATTTTTTATCCGAATTTAAGAATTGCTTCAAAGTTTTAGCGTGAAATCGTGCATTTTTTCTAATGAAATTGTTATTATAAGATAAGCAATCTGAGTTTTTTTGAATAATATGTCACTACACATGATAGAGCGTTACGTGCTGAAAAGTTACGCTTCGTTCTGAAAGTGGTAATGAAGTTTTATTAGAATTCATCAAAAAAACGTATGAAAATAATCGTATGTCAAAATGTGAGCACTTCTCAAAATTTGCTCACATTTTGACTATTTTTGTGAGATCTTCCTCACAATTTTTTGACAAACGTACAAAAAAGTGCCAAAATGTGAGCAAATGTGAGCAATTTTTATATCTCCAAACTTGAAATAAAGTTGTTTTCTATCATTTAGAGTTTGCAATTCATGAAAGTAAACATTTAAAACCTGCTATAAATGAAGTTTATTCTTTGATATATGTTTTATTGATTTCTATATAAAAATTAAAGCCAAAACATCAGTTAGAATGAGCCATTCCAAAATTTCAAATCGAATCCAAACACAACGTCATTATGAACAAATTTTTAATATCTATATCGAAAATGATCCATTAATATTTATAACTGTTGATGATATTCAATCTCAGTAGTGTATAGTTCTTTATGTAAAGCTGTTTTATTATTGTAAAGTAAATAATAATACCCTCAATTTTTTACTTTTGCAACTCAATATGGAGAATTTTTTTCAAATTATAGAGACCAACACTGATATGGAAGTATAGGATATCAAAGAACCTTTATAATGGTAATACTATGATGAACAAATACTAAAATCTGACTCGGTTATAATCAAATTTTTGATCTCAGGGAAATTGAAAAAGTAAAAATTTGAGGGTATTTATAAAATACAAACAATTTCTTTTATTCATCTAAATCAGCGTCATCAGCTAAATTAAGATCGTCATCGCTCAGGCTGACATCATTTATAATGCTGGGCTGGACTAATACATTTTTATTCATCAAATCCTTGAGTTTATTAAGGAATTCTTCGTCAGAAATTTCTTGAGAATCTTCTTCATGAAACAATTTTTTAGCTTCGATAATGAAGTCGATTTTATTAAATTCACGCAATTTCTTTTAGAGTGTGCGATTTCGTGATGTTAATTCATGCCTTTTTCGTGCTAAATCATCTATAATTTTCCCATTTTCTTTGAGTTTTTCTTTCAATTCCAATTTTTCGGTATCGATTTCATTGGTTTCATCGTAGTCATCAAAGTAATCACATAAGAACTGTCCAATACCTTTATTTGATATGCCATTTTGACGCATAATTCGAACTGCACGCACTGATATTGGATCTTTTTCTTGTATATCGATTAATTTTTGAGAAATGTTATCATTACGACGTTTAAAATCATACTTTGGACTAGATATGGAACTTGTACTATCAGATATAAGAGAATTTCCTGACATAGATAAATTTTGTTTTGTTTCGATTGAATTAGGAGAAACAAATTGATTAGGTTTCGCTGGTAGCCAACCTTTAGAAATTAAATTATAGTTTGTTTCAATATTTCCGTAAGAAACTGAATTTGCGCGGTCTTTAGCTGTAATTGACTCGCCATTTATCATTTCTATTTGTGTTCCTGCGGCTATTAATGCTAATTCTTTAAAGTTTTTCAGTTTAGATATAGGAGTATCGATTAATGAAAGTTTTTTTAGTCTTGTTAGCTTTGGAAAGCCGTTAAACGAAAGAACTGGGTTTCCATCCATATTTAACTCTATTAAATTTTGGTATTTATGAAGACCAGAAAAATCCGTAATTTTATTTTTGCTTAAATCGAGATATTGGACTGATGATGCTATGTGTATTTCTGATATAGATCTTATTTTCTTGTTATCAAGTTTGATTTTTGTATGTAATGTACTCATCGATCACCAATAGAATTACAAAATGAAAATATGAGTTTTATATAGTCTTGGAGCTCAGATTGTGGTCACTAAGAGTGTGGGACTGTATTATTTTAATAAATTTTTCAAAAACGAATACTGTAAATGCAAAACAGAATTCTTTAAGGATAGTTTTAGGACGTATTGACCGCAGTTGCAATATATCTAGATATTATCCTATGATTCCTATTATGGCTCATGAATTGATAAAAAATTGAAATAATTTCTATACATAGCTCAAAGTATCCAAGAACGTGGGAAGGTTGCTAGGCTTAAAAGTGTCTGTCAGATTATATTTGGAATTTTTTTTGTAATAAAGATTGGAATTAATTGGGATAGAGTGTTATACATTTATTAACCAAAATAAACAAAAACAAACAAAATATAAAAGAGTATAATGCTTAAATGCTTCTCATTATATGTTTTTCTAAAGAAGAATTATTCAAATCAAGTTTTTCGGAGCTTTCTTGTTTGATGAATGGTAGCGAATGGAATTCCATTTTGTTTTCATAAACTGCGTAAGCGGCATCATTTTCATAATCAATATAATCGGAAGCAGAGAAGAGAGTTAGAACACGGTTTCGGCCTTCATGCTTTTTATATTCAAAAGGATATTCGAAGCCATTATCAACGCATTCGTGAGCTCTGACTAAAATTGATAAATTATTTTTATCGAGAAACTCAAGCGCTGGCTGAAGACCGAATACAAATGTATCTCCTCTGTCTGAATCTCCGAACGTTGTAACATCTTCATCAGGATCGGCCCACAAAAGATCATACATTGGTCCAGCGTTATAAACATCGCAGAATCGATCAATTTTTGTAATCTCATCTATATACTCGATGTACTTACTAATGCCGCCATGAACACAGAAAACTTTGTTATTTAAAATTGCGCAAAGAGGAAGATGTTTGAATGTGTTAACAAATGATTCATAAACATCACTGCTTTGTTTGCTAATGCATTCTTCTTTAAATCCATAATGTGTTGTCATATACTCACATTCGTGGTTACCACGGAGTAAAATGAATCTATCTGGGTGCATAACTTTCAGTGTGAACAAAAGTGAAATTACTTCTAATGAATATCTGCCTCTATCAACATAATCGCCAAGAAAAACAAATTTCAGATTTTGATTTGACCATGTCCTTTGCAATATACGATCAAGATCATCAAATTGTCCATGTAAGTCTCCCACTAGAACGAATTTCCCTTCAAGATAAAGGATATTGGGTTCATCACTAAATGTTCGTGTAACTGTAGAGTTGAGCCATAATAAATAGTCTTTTGTCAAGAGTTTTTGTAGCCTTTTCCTAATTTTCTTGTGTCCAATCAATTGGACAATATTTTGCGCTATACAATCTTCGGACATAGGGCGTTAATCTAATTGAATTTGTCACAATTTATTTGAAAAAGTTGATTTTCAGACTGGGTATTCAATAAAATTGACCATTTCAGAGATAGAAATTGAATTCATATCAACTAATATGGTCTCACTATTTTAATATTTTTGATATAATTAATTTTAGAAAATTTTGATGATATTGAATTTTCGGTTACTCAAAAATTGAATATATCATTTCGAAATCATCAAATAGATAAAATAGCATTTATAATGCTATTACCTATTATAATTTCCCATCATAATAAAAAATAAAGTCATCCGCTAAATTATTGAGCATTTGGAATTCAAAAAGATTATCATGTTTTCATTTGGTAAATCCAAAAACTATCACTTCCATAAAATATTAGGAGGTTTACATTCAGATAATTATTACGTCAGCATAAAAAGTGTCACTTGCGGGATCAAAATTGAGGGATTATCGAAAAGTGTAAATCTTGGATAACGCCATAAATTAATTATGTTGACCCTTCTTTTAAGATTATATCCCAGTTTACCCTGAAAAAGTTGCAAAATCCGATTATTTGATTATTTTCATTATAAATTGTAAATAATGAGTCATGGTAGTATTTCATTGTCAATATATATCCTGGATTCAATTGTATCTTCTTCGGTATGTAAGAATATTTTTTTGGATTAAAGAATTTGAAGGAATGGCATTGTTTTCAAATAATAATTTTACCAACATCGCATTGCATTCATTTAGTATGAATATAACTGCATATATATCACTCTTTTCTCCTTTTCAAATTTGAATAATAAATATTTGAATAATACAAAAAAAAATAATAATTGTTTATAATATATGAAAACATAGTGTTTATTGTTATGGGCTATCTAGAATATGCATAAAAATACTTAAAAACTGAAATTTTTAAATAAAATTATCTGGAATTAGTAAAATCGCGGCCTATTTTCTTCAGGAAGGGCGCCTTGCTTGGGGCCTTTGATTGTGTTTATTCCTGGTTGTAATAATGAATAGCGGGTATTTTAATCCAAAGCTTTCGAATTTTTTTCGAATAGAAGTCTTTCATTGTTTCGAAGCTTTTCCTTCTTTGCATTGGTATTTAGTGATCCAAGTGTTGCATATGATTCACCTGTGGAAACACCTTTTGCTGAAAAGAAACTATTTTTCTGCTGTTTAGCTTTCAAGGCACGTTGAGAGTTATAAAACGGTGGATATTTGATATTCGGTTCATTTTCTTCTGCCATATATTGATCTTCTTCTGTATAATTTTGAATTGCTTCTAATAATTTTCTTAAAGAGGCAACTTCTTGCCTGAGAAGTATAATTTCATCTCTTATATTCATTATATCTTCAATTGTTGTATTTGTTGATAATGACACGCTTAAGAGAAGGAATGAAAACATTTTGATTGAAGATAAGGTTTAAAGTAATATAAATTGCAAAATTATGACTATTATGATATAACTGTGAATATTTACGATAAATTGGAGCTTCAAGATTTTTGACATTTGAAAAAATAAGAGAAATTCAAGGTTTATTAAAAAAATAAGAGCCTTTTATGAAAGAATGTTACCGAATGATGAAAATAGATTCCTTTGCCCCTATATGGCACCTCAGACCCTCCCAAGGCGATAATAACGCGTATAATAGATTATGTGAATAAATCAAATGTCAGAATCCTTTGGGATATGTCGAATAGCATTATTATTGGTATTAGGTTTTGAAATAATCATAAGTATACTCTGACTTTTCAATGCTCGATTTTATGGTTCCCTTAAAATCAAGCTAATTATTGAAAGTATAAAGTATACGACAAATTTACTCTGACTTTTCAGAGAATTAAGCTTCAGCTCAATTCTCTGAAAAGTCAGAGTAAATTTATATAATTTTTGTTAATCTTTCAATTTTTTTGAGTGAAATCAGTTTAAATGGTTTATGATTTTTGACAGCTTCTTTCTCCACATCAAAGAAATGATTCGTTGACTACGAAAAGTTGTATTAAAACAATTATGTGTGTGATGTGTTTATTATAAGTTCCTGTTTTGATGAATAAAAGCAATAACCAGAAATTAGAAATTCTTAAGAAATATGCTTTTATCTTTAACTTTCAATCTTCATCAAACCCACTTTAAATAAAGAAGACTTATTAAGTGGAGATGATCAATGGTCACCTTTTACCTAAGTTCCTTAGATATGTTGCCTAATGAAGAGGAGTTTTTCCTTTATCCTAGTATTTTTTGAAATTAGCTTTAATGATTGAAAATCTCACATATTTAATGTAGTACCAGAATAGTTAAATAAAGATTCATGACTGAGGAAATCAAACCTGGATTAATTATATAGAGAAAGATGGTAATATGATTTATAGATAAATGACTAGACATACATATATTAAAGCTATTCACTAAATATATAAATATCATTCTTTCATATGCTCAACGATATTCATTTATTATGTATATCCATTCCCAAAGTGTTCAATGATTACTGGAATCATTAGAACAAACAGATTCTTAATACTTCCAAAAAATACTTGCGTTGTAGGGAAAAAATATCTAATAATTAAGATTTATTTCTTGTCATTTGCTTTCATAGTTTCTATCTAAATGTTATAGCTATATTGACAACAAAAAAAAGTATATTTTAAGGATTTCCATTAAAAATCTATAATTTTTCAATGAAACATTGGCCAAGTTGAATTTTCAAGTATGCAACATTATCATTAACTAGTATTTTAAATATTACATAAATTTCTCTAAAAATTGTAAATGACTCAAGTGTCTCCCCCTGCTTACGTTTAATAAAAATAAAATGGATGTATTGATTGTTATTTTGAGGAAAGCGTCGTACAGCAAGCATCCTATTGATCTTGCTGCAAATCTGATGGCTATGGAGTTTGATGAACAAAAATTAAAGACACTATTTGAAGATTCAGAAGCAAATAATATTTTACAACTATTTTTCCATAGAAATAGAAAACTTTTACATAATTCTATTTCAGACATGTATGATTATTTATCCAATCAGAACTTACATAAAAATCCAAAGCAAATTTCAGTGCAAAAACTAATTTTATTCAAAATTATTCAATATTCGCCAAAAACATTCTTCAAAATGCTGCCCCTTCTAATAATTAGACCAAACTCCGAAGAAATTTTATCAGAAACACTTAATATCTCGTTTGATCAATCTTTACAAGTAAATTCGAAAGATTTTCATAATGCAATACTTACAAATAAATCTCCATCTGAATTATTCATGTCCAGTATTCTTCAATTCGCTCAAAAGCATGATCCAGAAAATCAAAACATTTTATTCATGAAACCTGAGAATAAATCGAACAATTCTGACCTCATTGCAAAGCTTAAGCAACTACAGTTATATAATGAACAGCTTGCCACACAAAATAACCAATTGGAAAAGCAAATAAAAGAATTAAGTATGAATACTTTATCTTCGCTTGAAAAGCAAACTCAGCAGTTAAAAGAAAGTCTTAAAAATCAAGATAATAAGAACGAAATACCAAACGACAATGAATTAAAACTACAAAACGAAATTTCTCAAAAAAACATCAAAATTGCACAATTAATGGATGATATTCAAGCTCTTAATGGAGAAAAGTCTAAATTAGGCAGCCAAATTACTTCTCTTAAGTCTGAAATTGATAAATCATTAAATGAAAATTTAATTCTGAAGAAAGCAGCAGAAGATCAATCAATTGCATTGGCATCTAATGGTTCAAAGATTGAGCAGCTTCAAAACCAGCTAAAAGAGCAAAAAGAACAAAATGACAAAGAAAAAGAAGAATTTAAGCGAAAAATCGAAGTTCTTCAGAACGAAAAGGCCGAAATCATCCAGAAATACAAGCTATATACTAATAATACCACTGATGGCCAGCTAGAAGAAGAAAAAAGAGTAAATGAAGATTTAAGAATGCAAATCCAGAAATTGATGAAAGATATTGAAGAAGAAAGGAACGATATCAAGAGAAGAGAGAAGTCCTTATCAGATAAACAGCTCAGATGGAAAGAAGAAGAGCAAAATCACGCAAGAATTTTAGGAATCACTCCTGAAGAGCTGAGAGACACAAATAAGAGATTTGAACAACAAATGATGGCTCTAGAGAAGGCAAAAGCAGAGTTAAATCAAAAAAGAGACAAAATTAACTCAAATTTGTTCAAATCTCAACTTGCGGAGAAATCTGTTGACGAGAAATTGGAGAAACTTGAAAAGGAAAAGCAGAAAATTGATCAGTTGCTGAAAGAATACAATGAAAAGAATAAAAAACGAGAAATTCAGTTGGATTACGATAGACTTTATGATAAAGACATTTATATTGAACCATTCACGGAGATGATACCGAGATATCACGCAGAAGATGATTTGGACCCTCAAACTCAGGAATTCCAGGAATTTCCTTACGATCCGGAAGAAGATATCGAAAGAACGCAAGTTAGAAGGCCTAAACAGACTGGACGGCTAAGAGACATATTATTCAGAATAACTTCTTAATTTGTTTTTATTAATTTTTTTATTTTGTTATGATTATTTAAAAAAATCTATTTGTTACTTCTTTATCTTTTAGTACAATGTTCTCCATAAAGTACTTATCCTATTTATCCATAAAATTTGGAAAACTTCAAATTCTCTGATTTTGAATTCAAATGCATTTGGAAAAGTGTTCATATTAACATAGATAATAATATTTTATTATTGTTGAGCTACAAGACCTAAAAAATAATATTTTAATATTTTGTATATCCATAAAAGAGTGAATGAATTTGAGTATCGGCCTGAAACTCACTGATTTTTATATTGGTAAAGTTATTTATTGCCTAGTTAGTATTTGATTTATTTCTTCATATCAAAATTTACTAGGTCTTTATGTTTGATATTGATAAGGAATCTTTTATTTGTTTATAAAAATTTGATTAATTTTCATTTTTTCTTCTGGTTTTTTGAAATGTCTGATCTTCAAGATTTGCAAAATGCTAATTCACCTAAGCATACGATTTTGATTGAAAAAAGAAAGCAACCTATTGGTCTTTCTTTGTTCGATTCTTTTCCAGCTTCGCCAAAAAACGAAAATCCAGAAACTAAATCGGAATCGCCTTCAATAAACCTCATGTCAAAATTCGAAATTGTCAGACCAGAAAAAAAATCAATAGATCTCTTGGGAAAAACAACAGAAACTCATGAAAATAACAATCCTCCTCAAATTGAAAACGTAGAACAAGAAATACCTCATACAAATCTACCAAAGATAGAAAGATCAAAGACAGACAAGATCGTATTTACAAAACCAGAAGAAATCGATATAAATAAATTTAAATTCGATAATACTTTAATGAATTCCCTTGAAATACCTATTTTCAGCAATTTGCAAATAAATGCAAAGCCTTCTCCCGATCAAAAGAGTACAAAATCCAAAGTTTCCCCTCAAAAACAAAACAATGAGAAAAAGCAAGGAAATCATGGAGACAAAAACAACAAGAAACAATCATTACCTGATGTAATTGTCGTAGACGACGAATTACTCTCTTCTGAAGATGATATAAACAATAAAATTTTTATTGAACCCCCAAAGAAGCCCCAAGACATGATTACGTCTTCTGATGAAGAAATTTCAATGGAAAGCTTGAAATTCGATCAATCAAGCTTTTATCAACTAAATAATTACAAAGAAAAGCCGAAAACTACGGACAATGCAAATAAGGACATTGTGGAGAAGGTAATTAGTTCATCTGATGAAGAATTATCCATGGGAAAACTAAAATTTGATTCATCATCTTTTTATTCAATGGTAACAGGCCAAAACAAGTCAATACAAGTTGAGTCAAGTGAGAATTCAGAGGTGGAAATACAAAAAGTCGAAAATTCTGAATCTGAACCAGAAATTTTGGAAAATGGCACGAAAATTCAAGTTGTAAATGATGAGTTGCTGTCAGATAGCTCAGATAATAAAAGTACTGCCTCAAATTTGCTGACTTCCGATGAAGAAATTCCAATAAATAATTTTATTTTCGATGATTCTGCCATTACATCACTTTTGAGTGGTAAAACTGAATCTAAAGAAGATGATAAGCCTTCAGAGCAGCTAGTATTACCTAAACAAGAAGAAAAACTCGCTGATGAAAAAGAAATTTTAATTGAGAACTCAGAAAGCTCTCAAATGTCAGACCAAAACGATGAATCAAACCATGAAGAAGAAAAACCAGAAATTATTCAAAATCCAGCTGAAAATCTTGAAAATGAACAAAATATTTTGACTTCTGATGAAGAAATCCCACTTGAGAACTTCCAATTCGATTCTTCCAAGTTTATGTCTACGTTTTCCACTGAAAACAAGCAAAATGACTCAAAATCAGAAAATATTAATTTTGAAAAAGAAGAAACAGCTCAAAACAAAGATGAAACAATTACTAATGATAATATGCAACCAATTGTTCAAGAAATTAAGCCAAATGATTCGAATTCTGAAAATAATAATTTTGAAAAAGAAGAAACAGTTGAAAAAGATGAAGAAACTGTTATTAATGATAACGAACAAGAAAATGATCAAGAAACTCAACAAAATGATTCGAAATCAGATGAAAAGCTATCAAATGAAGAAAAATTTGATTTTGATGAATTTGTTGAGCTGTTTAGTGTTGAAAATTCAGAGAAAAAGTCTGAAAAAATTGAAAATGATCAAAATGAAGAGTTGAAACAAGCTGAAACGCCAGAAATAGCTAATAATGATGATAATATGGGACTCTCTTGTCCAATTAACCAAGAAAACAACACTTTTGGCGTGAATGATTTTGATGATTTGTTTAATATCAAAAATACAGAGAAAAGTGATGTCAAAACTGTTGAAGAACAAGATGATAATGATGATAACTCTGGATTTTCTTGTCCAATCAAACAAGAAAATAATGATTTTGATTTTGATGATTTTCAAGATCGTTTTAGCCTCAATAACACTGAAAATCAACCTGAGCAGCCTATTTCTCAGCCAATATCCGAAGATTCTCCTCAAAAACAAGTATTAAATGAAAATATTTCTGAAATTGTCAATAATTCTGAGCCAAAAGATGTTGAACCACAATTAGCAGATGTTGTAAGTGAAGTTGTTCCAATTTCTGGTGATATTGATGATATTTGTGACTTATTTAACCTTAATTCTGAAGAAACACCAAAAGAAGAAACAAAAGACCAAAATTCTTACGTTGGAGAAGAGGAAAGCGTCAAAACTGAAGAAGAAATTCAACAAATTAAAATTGAAAATAATTTAGTTAAGCCAATTCAAGAAATTGATGAGAATAATGAAGAAAATGAAGAAGATTATGAGGAAGAATATTCTAAAACAGAAGAACAACATGAAATTGTTCCAATTCAACAAAAATTTGAAAAAGAAGCAGAGAAAATAACAGAAGAAGATGAAGAAAACATTCTTTGTGAAGAAGAAAATGAAGAAGAGGATGTTTTATATGAAAAACAGCCAGAAATAACAAAAAGTAAAATTGTCAATGAACCAGAGGCCAAACAAGAAGAGGAAGACTATATTCTTAGTGATCTTAAGTACGGTGAGATCAATATCAAGAAAATTTCAGAAATCAAAATTAATATTTCAAATAACAACTTCCAGGTTGCTACATGTCACAGCAGTGACATTGTTGTTCTTGTGAATAACGGATACATAACTGTAAATAGAATTACAGGCAAAAAATCCCTAGATCTTGAATTTTTATTTGATAGTAACGAAACTAAGGTCCAAAGAGCATTTCTCTTTAATGATACAGTTGTTGCAGTATCAACAGGATATATTTCAGTACTTAGAATTACAGAAGACGATGAATTTGATGATATTTTAGAAATTAACAGAGAAAGTAATGGATTAGAAGGAAATATCACAGAAATTAAGGCCACAGATATCAACAAAGGATTCTATTTGCTCTGTGACTCCAGCTTATTCTTCTTTTCTCTCAAAAAATTCGCTTTAATTTCAGAAAATGTTTCACTCTTTGCTGTTAATGATTTCGGATGCTATTTTATCACTACAGATAATGAATTATACTACTTCTCCGATGGAAAACTCTCAGATATCATTCATATTTTCGATCGCGAAATTATTTCACTTTTTGCCACAAATACTCAAGTGGTAGCGTTCGCACAATATGAAGGTACAGAATATTCTGATGTGTTTGTGACCAAAGAATTCCTCTCAATTCGAATTTGTTCTTTCATTGATTTTGATTTTGCTGAATCCTATGCAAACTCTATTGCTATCATGTCCGAAACAATGAGTTTATATAATATTGATACAAAGACTTTGTATTCTTCTACTGTTCCTCAATTTTTCGACAGATTTATGAATCCTCTTCCAACAAAAGCGAAAATTATTACAGTCAATGGTAAAAGTGCGATCCTTGTTTATAATGAGAGGATCCCCAAGCTTGTTATTTATGAAATTCCTCCAGAACATATCCCTTCTTTGTTTGAATATATAGATTATAACTTTAAGAATAACCTTGTTATGAACGATATTAATGAATAAAATATATTATACAGTGATTTCGTTATGATTTTATCAAATTTTTTTAATTTCTTTGGTATTTAGAGATTTTAACTAGAATATTCTGATATATTTCAATATCTATGATAGATTTCAAATCTATCAACATATAATTAGCAAGAACAGTTGATCTGTAGTGGCACTTTTTTCCTGACAAGCTAAAAAATGTCTGAATCCGAGGATACAACTGATCCAGGTGCTAACATTCTTGGTGAATATTGCCCATTCATTGCTGATGTTCCAATTACATCATATGCAGAGCCATTTCCTATTCCAAATCCTGACACAAGAACTGAAGAAGAAATCAACCAAGTTAAGCAGAATTTAAAGAGATTAACGAATAGCAAACATTTCAACCCTCCATTACCACTCGCAGACTTCTGTTTGATCGCAAAAGACCGTTGGGAGAATGATGATTCTGACGGATCAGAATGCTCATTAGGAGTCTGCAAGCTTGTATAAGTTTATTATAGCTATTTCGTTTTGCAAAGTAATCAATAGAATTCAAAAAAAAATTCTGAATCCAAAAAGAAGAAATACAAAGAATCTTCTCTTTATGAGAAGAGTTCGTTTATATTACATTCTGAAATAGAACCTACTTTGCTTAATATATGTTTGTATTAAAGAGATAATACTTGATTTTCATTTTCATTATAAAAATTTAGTCTCCTTTTTAAAACATTGATATCAAAGAGCTTTGTGTACGTGATTAAAACTTCTAAATACTCAAAATTTTGCAAGAAAATGTATTAACGAATATAGAAAGAACTCAATTAACTGTTTCATAATAAATAAGACTTAGTGTAGTATTATCCGACATATAGTTGCTTCAAATTTACCAATTCAAAAGCCAAAAACCTAATTATCAAATCAATATAACAAAATTGATTCAATAATGAATTTATTCAAGTAATCTGTATTGCCCTATTCAAGTCTGATGCAAAATACATATGAAACTTTTCCAAAATTTTTTGAGTTTAGCTTTTTTCAAGTGAATATCAGTTATTTTTTATTGAAAATTTCATAATTCTAATTTTTTAGGAAGTTTTTCAACTTAATTCATGACTTTCTCAATGTTTAATCGGTTTTTAACATAAACAAATCGACAGTATTATTTAAATTTAAGTTAATAACATAAAAATATCCTTAGAATTACGAATAATCCCAAAATGTAACTCATCCAATGAAAATCTTTCATATTTTAGAGAGAGAAACATCAAAATTACAAAATACATACTATTGAAATCGTTTTATTATATTTAAATCGAATCACATGCATGACATTGAAATTTTCCAAAACGAATGTCTAAAATTTTGTAGCTTTAATAAGAATATTAGTTTGCATTTCAATCGAAAAGCCTAAAGACCAAGTAGATAAGGTTGATTATAAAGTCCAGATATAAAAACAATAAAAAATTGACGCGAAATTCAAAACGAGTATTCTTTAATGCAGAACTATGATCAAGTAAAAGTCCTTGGTCAAGGTGGCTTTGGTAAAGCCATTCTTGGCAAGAGGAAGAAAGATGGTTATATGGTATGTATCAAAGAAGTTCGATTAACAGCTTTATCTCAAAAAGATAGAGAGGAAGCTATGAAAGAAATCAAAGTTTTAGCAGCATTGAATCACCCATATATTGTTAAATACATCGAGAACTTTCAAGAGCGCGGAAGTTTATACATCGTTATGGAATTTGCAGATGGTGGTGATTTAGCGCAAAAAATCGAAAAAAAAGGAAGAAAACCATTTTCCGAAGAAGAAGTAATGAAAAATTTCATACAAATAGCACTTGCAATTAAATATTGTCATGATAGAAAAATCTTACATCGTGATTTGAAAGGGCAGAACGTCTTCTTAATGAAAGATGGCACTGTAAAACTTGGTGACTTTGGTATTGCACGTGTTTTGGAGCATACATTTCAAGTCTGTAAGACTCAAATCGGTACACCTTTTTATTTATCACCAGAAATTTGTCAGGGAAAGCCTTACAACTCCAAGACAGATATTTGGTCACTAGGTTGTATTCTTTACGAGCTTTGTACCCTCAAACACGCCTTCGAAGCTGCGAATATGAATGCTCTTCTTATGAACATCATTCGTGGCAAGTATACACCTATACCAGCTCAATACAGTCAAGATTTACGTAATCTTGTCGACGCCATGCTTACGAAAGAGCCAGAAAAACGTCCAAATATTAATCAAATCTTAACTTTACCATTTATCAAATCCAAACTCTCGAATTTCCTATCAGAAACACTCCTTAAATACGAAATGCAGCATACCGTCATTCACGGCCGCAAAGCTTTTGCTGCTGCCACAATTTTACCTCATCACGACGCTGCCGCGAACAACCAAGCCGCAGAAGCACCGAAACCATCACCAGAGCAGCTCAAGAAGGAAGAAGAAATACGCGAGAAGCAAAGACAGATGGCGCTTGAAGCGCAAAAACGGAAACAAGCAGAAGAAGAAGCTGAAAGAAAGAGGAAACAAGAATTATTCGAAGCGGAGCGAAAGAAGAGACAAGCTCTTGAAGAAGCAGAACGTATGAGAAGAGAAAAAGAAGAACAAGCGAGACTGCAAGCAATAAAAGAAGCAGAAGAAGCAGACAGACGTCGAAAACAACAAGATTTCGATGACAGAAATCGCATTGCACAAATGAACAGAGAACGTGGAAAAGGCGGTGTTGATTTCAACTACAATGATGGCACATACAAGAACCCATTGCAGTTACAAAGAGAACGCGAAAAGAAAGAAATGGAAGCCAAATACAACAGAGATCTCGAAGCAGCGAACAGACCACAAAACAGACAATCTCCTGACAATTACCAGCGTCAATACGCAAATCAGAATCAGTACCAGAACAGGAGAGATCCAAGAGAAGAAGCCAGACAAGAAGCAGCCAGAATGCAAGCACAAAGAGAAAGACAGAAGAGAGAAGAAGAAGAAAGAGCAGCTGCAGAAAGACAAAGAATATACATGGAACAGAAAAGAGCACGCGATGCAAATAAACAAAGAAATAGAAATGATCTTTTCGGTGCACAAGATTGCTTCCAATACAATGATCCTGATCCAGAACCACCACGAAGAAATCAGCCAAATAAACAACAGTTAAACGATGAAGAATTAAGAAGAAAGATCTACGAAGATCAGAGAAGAGAAGCAGCAATGAACAGAAACAGAGGAAGAGAAGATATGAAAGGAAACAACATGAGAGATGCTCTTTATCAAGGAGAAGAAAGAAGATCTCCTGATAGAAACAACAGACCGAAATCAAGAAATGATGATGAAGCAGAGAGAAGAAGAATCTGGGAAGAACAAAGAAGAGCTGCACAAGCAAATAGAAACAGAGCACAAGATGATATGAAAGGAAATAACATGAGAAACGCTTTGTATCAAGGAGAAGACAATTCTCCAAGAGATAGAAACAACAACAGAAGACAACAACAAGATTACGATGAAGCAGAAAGAAGAAGAATCTGGGAAGAACAAAGAAGAGCTGCAAAAGCAAACAGAGATAAAATGAAGTACCAGGAAATGGGAGGAGGTGCTGCTGCAGAGGCACTAAGAGATAATTCTCCTTATGATAACAGAGATAGAGCTCCAGACAGAATTGCAAAACACGACATTTCCGAGGAAGAAAGAAGAAAAGCTTACGAAGAACAGAGAAGAGCTGCAAGAGCTAATAGAGAAAAGATGAAATACCTCGAAATGGGAGGTGGAGCAGCTGCAGACGCGTTAAGAGATGGAGATGCTGATGACGACAGATACGAAAGAGTTGAAAGAATTGCTAAACACGACATATCAGAAGAAGACAGAAGAAGAGCTTATGAAGAACAGAGAAGAGCAGCTAAAGCTAATCGTGAGAAAATGAAGAACCTCGAAATGGGGGGCGGAGCAGCTGCAAACGCTTTAAGAGATGGAGATTCTGCAGATGATTATGATAGAGCTCCAGACAGAATTGCTAAACATGATATATCAGAAGAAGACAGAAGAAAAGCTTATGAAGAACAAAGAAGAGCAGCTAAAGCAAACAGAGAGAAGATGAAGAACTTAGAGATGGGAGGAGGAGCTGCAGCTGATGCACTTAGAGATGGAGATTCCGCTGATGATTACGAAAGAGCTCCTGATAGAATTGCAAAACACGAAATCTCTGAAGAAGACAGAAGAGCAGCATGGAGAGCACAAAGAGATGCTGCAAGAGCAAACAGAGAGAAGATGAAGAACTTAGAGATGGGAGGAGGAGCTGCAGCTGATGCACTTAGAGATGGAGATTCAGCAGATGATTACGACAAAGCTCCAGACAGAATTGCTAAACGTGATATATCAGAAGAAGACAGAAGAAAAGCTTATGAAGAACAAAGAAGAGCAGCTAAAGCAAATCGTGAGAAAATGAAGAACTTAGAGATGGGAGGAGGAGCTGCAGCTGATGCGATGAAAGATGGAGATTCTCAAGATGATTCATATGATAAAGCACCAGAAAGAATTGCCAAACACGAAATCTCTGAAGAAGACAGAAGAGCAGCATGGAAGGCACAAAGAGATGCTGCAAGAGCCAACAGAGAAAAGATGAAACAACTCGAAATGGGAGGTGGAGCAGCTGCTGATGCAATGAATGATGGAGAAAGCGATGGAACAGACAGATCTTCTTCTCCTGAAAGAATTGCAAAGCACGAAATATCCGAAGAAGACAGAAGAGCAGCATGGAAAGCGCAAAGAGAAGCAGCTAAAGCAAATCGTGAGAAAATGCGTAACTTAGAACTAGGATTGAATGGAGATGATGACTCAGCATCACAATCACAAGACGACAACTCAGCACGCGAACAGAAACACAACGAAAAGCATCAGCCAACCGCAGAAGAATTGGCTGAATTAGCTAGACAACAAAGAAGAGAAGCTCGTGCAAACAGAGAAAGACTCAAACAACAAGCTGCAGGAGTAAACATGGACCAGCTCGTCCAAGAAGCGTTTGGAGACAATCCATTTGGTGTTCACGGCGGTGGAAAAATCCCTCGCGATGCTCCTCCACAACCTGAACAACAACCACAGCAACAATTGGAAGAACAAAGTTCAGAAGATAACTCTGAACATAAGAAAGAAAAGCATCAGCCAACAGCAGAAGAATTGGCTGAACTTGCAAGACAACAAAGAAGAGAAGCAAGAGCAAACAGAGAGAAACTGAAGCAGCAACAAAACGTGAACATGGATGATTTGCTTAAAGAAGCAATGGCCGAGCAACAACAACAGAATAAACCGAAAGAAGAAGAAAAACAAAAACCAGTTTTGATTGAAGAAGAAATCGATGAACCTCCTCCACAGAAAGAAAAAGTCCATGAAATAACTGCTGAAGAAAGAAGACAAGCTTACAGAGAACAGAGAGAAATAAGGAAGAAAGCAGAACAAGCAGCTGCTGACCAATTAAACGAATTGCAAGCAATCGAAGCTGCTTTCAACGGACCTCCAAAAGCAAAGAGACCTCCACCGGAATTCTTGCAGAGATTGCAGAAGAAAGACGGCAATGAACCATCATCTGCAAGATCAGCAAGTGAAGAAAGACCTTCAACAGCTCGTTCTGCAAGTAATGAACCACGTTCTGCTCGTTCTGAACGCGAAAGAATACGTCCTTCTTCACGCCAGAAACAACAAGAACCAGTCAAGATCGAAGAACCAGTTAAAATTGAAGAGCCAATTAAGATTGAAGAACCTCCTGTAAATGAAAACGCAATTGGAATGAAACCTGATTTCGGACAAGCTCTTTCTTCAAGGAGTACGAAAGAGTTCTTAAAGTCAAGAACTCTTGTCATGGAACAACTAAACAACGAGGAAAATGCGGAAGAAAACAAATCAGAAGCAGAAAATCCTGTTGAAAATAATGAAGAAATCGGTAATGAAGCAACAGATGAAGAGAAACAATCGAATATTGAAGACTGCGCGAAATTCATTGAAGAAGCTCTTTGCATGGATGATAAAGAAGCCAAAGCAGAAGAAGCTTTCGATGATGACCAAAAGCGTGATAATAATTCATTCCATTTAGTTGATAAGAGCTTGAATCTTCCTGTTGGACACGACACAGATAGCATTGCTTACAGAGCTGAAGCAATCAGAGCGTTCCTTGAGAAAGAAATCGGATTTGATAGATTGATTGACATCAAACAAGCAATGTCAAGGCCTGAAAGCGAAGCTAGCGTTGATTTGCTCCTCAATGGGCTTCAGCCAGGTCTTATCATTCTTGTACAACAACTTCTTGTCCTTGATGATGATTCTGTTGCAAACAGATTGTAATTTTTTGTGTTATTAAGCAAATAATTTTATTTATTTTTGTTTTAACATTAAAAGAAATTATTTTTTAAAATTGATATCTTACTTCATATTTTCATTATCTAAGAATAATTAAGGATACACATTCCACTTTCTGACTATCTATCAGGAAAAAGTTATTATAAACCATTATGTAGTACCTAATGCAGCTATTAAAGTTTTTTACTATTAAAACAAGGATTCGTTGAGGATGAACTACGCCTATCTGAAAATTAACCTTAAACACAAGAATTGAAGGTCGTGTCATACGGGTTTAAGTTCACCCTTAAGTTAGTAAATATAACAGTGCCAATTCCTATCTTTTATTGAAGATTGTAATAGATGATGAAGTAATTTTTTTTCAACCACTAAATTTATTGTCTTTTTATATATATAAAAATTCAATACTTCTCAATTGAAGTATATCAAATATTTGAAATAGTTATGTGTTGACAATAAATGGCAGAATCAGATCCATATGAGGGAACAACATTAAAAACAACAACAAATGTTGTTGATTTTACATTAAAAGTCGAATGCGAACGAATCTATGGACAATATCTTAGCAACCAATGCACGAAAGTTGCATTTTTAGGGAGTGCAACAACATTAGAATCAGTCACATTTCCATATGGATCAAAATTAAAAGAAATCTCAGAGTGTGCCTTTTTTGGTTGTTTAAAACTTAGTGCTATTGATTTCAGTCATTGTGAATTACTCACAACAATTGGCCAATATGCATTTTCCGGATGCGCGACGCTGTCCAATATCAATCTTCCTAAATCTCTCTCGACTTTAAGTCCATATTGTTTCCAAATGTGCAAAATCCAATCTATTTCTATTCCAAAATCAGTGAAAGCATTTCAATCCGGATGTTTTGACTCCTGTACCTCACTAATACGAGTTGATATTCCATCAGATTCACTTCTCGAAAGGATTGAATGGAGATCTCTTCGAGCCACCAGAATTACTTCAATTTTCGTTCCTAGGTATTTATCTTATTTTTCGGGAAGTGCTTTTGAATTACTTACCACATTAACAAGCATTGATTGCGATTCATTAAATCAAAATTTCAAATCTTCTGGTGGAGTCCTTTATAGCTACGATCAGACGAAATTGATTAAATTTCCATCCGCATTGAGCAAAACATTCACAATCCCAGATAAAGTTACAATAATTGGGGGCTCTTCATTTGTAAGCAGCATTATTGAATCAGTAACTCTCAATGAAGGCTTGGAAACAATAGAGGGATTTGCAATCCAGTTTACTAAATTGAAATCTATTTCAATTCCTGATAGCGTTACATCCATTGGGCGAGCAGCCTTTTATTTATGTCCCATTGCTTCAATCACATTTGGGAAAGGATTGACGAATATTCCAGTGGAATGCTTTGCATATACATCAATAACAAATGTCACTATTCCAAATGGAATTACAGAGATAGGAAAATCAGCCTTTGCAGGCTGCAATAAGCTAAATTTAATTGTCCTACCGACATCATTGAAGACAGTTGGAGGAGGTTGGATCACAAATAGTCCAAAGATTAATTTGACAGAAGGATCACTAATGAAGATTGATGATGAACAAATGATCTTTTATGATCAACATTTCAGTAATTTGATTACGTGTCTTGACAAGAGAGAATATTATCGAATTCCATCCACAGTGAAGACTATCAGCAATGAAGCATTCAAATCAAATTCAGTCCTCACTCGTATCGAATTTGAATCGAGTGATAATCTGACAAGCATCGGTTCTTATGCATTCAGAGATGACGTTAATTTGAGTTCTATTAGCATTCCAACTTCAGTTGTCAGTGTTGGCGAATATGCATTCTCAGGATGTACCTCATTAACATACATCTCGTTTGGGAGCAAACTCACAAGTCTTGGCCAACACTGTTTTGATGGTTGCAGATCTCTTGAACGAATGATCATTGGCGGAGGCAGTACATACGACATCTGGACATGTTCATTCCTCAACTGCATAAATCTTCGTGATGTTAATCTTGGTGAAGGACTTCGAAAGATCGAGATGCAGTCATTCAGCAACTGTTTTAGTCTCAAGTCAATCAGTTTCCCGTCAAGTCTTAGCTACATCGGTATATACTGTTTCTCTCTCTCCGGTATCGAAGAAGTCACATTCTCATCTTCTAGCACTAAGAGTTTTATCGACGCATACAGCTTCAGCAACAGTCACAATCTTAGTCGCATCACACTTCCACCGAACATTGTTTCCATTGGTGAGAACTGCTTCGAAGGTACACGTCTCATCTCTTTCGAAGTTGGCTGCAGCGTTGTTAACATCTCAGACTACGCATTCAGTGGTTGTTCATCTCTTACTACATTCACTATCAATGAATGTAGTGTTCTTGAGCGCATCGGTACTCTCGTCTTCGAAGGTTGCACATCACTTCGCGAGATTTTTTGTAGCAACAGCAGCAACTTCTTCGAAGTTGACAACGGTGCTCTTTTCAACAAAGGCCGTAGCACACTCATCTGCTTCCCTCCTGCATCACCTATCAAGTATTTCAGTTTCTCACAGAACGTTCGTAGTGTTTCATCCAGTGCATTCATTGGATGCAAGAACTTGCTTAGTGTCACAATCCCAGACAACAGCATCGAGAGCATCGGTCCATATGCATTCTCTAACTGCACTAACCTACGTTCGATCAACATCCCTCTTTGTGTCAAAGTCGTCAGCCGATCAGCATTCTCAGGATGCAACAACCTGCGCTGTGGTGTTCTTGTTGACAGCACTAACAACACATTCAGACGCAATCTCATTGATATTGCAAAACTTCCCTCGACATCACTTCATGACTGCTCACTAATATCGTGCAGACATGACTATTATCAACAAAGAATATCATTTATATCTTATACTGTTTTCATTCTTATTTAAATATTTTTTACTCATTTTAAATATGTTTATCTATCTATCACAGTCGTAAATCATTAAAACATCCATATCAATCTTTAAGGGTGCATTTATGCCAGTATGTTATGGCCCTTCATGTCAGTTGTCAAAATTTTGGATGTGGCGTCAGATGGGTGAAAAGATATCACTCCATGACTGTTCACCTATTACATGTCGATTTGAATCATGTCAAAACACCATATCCTTCATGCTATTTTCTATTTTTATTCTCATTTAAACTTTTCATATTCTAGTTTTATTACTATTTAAACAAGAATTTGTTGATTTGTGGACCCTTAAAAAAATCAATATTCTCGTTATAATATTGTGAAACTTCTTATCTCTACAGGAGCTAAAAAAGAATCAAGGGATAAATATGGGAACACGCCACTCTTTATTGCAGCAAAGAAAGACACGTCTGATTTAGCAAAATATCTCATTTCAGTTGGAGCCAATAAAGACACATTGAACTATTCCGGACAGACTCTAATTAACGTTGCAAGTCCAAATGTTAAACAATACCTTATTTCCTTGGGACAGTAATCTAAATGATAATACCAAGATCATGGTTATCAGATTAGTATAGTTATACTTCAACAACACATCGTTTTAATAAAATTATAAAAATCAAAACGTTTTATTTCTTTTTATGAATTCATTTATACACCAAACATGAATATTTAATACTTATCCATTGAATTACATCATAAGGATTGATGCTTTAGATTTAATAAAATATTTTTTTTAATGTAGAATGTTTAATAAAATAATTATTCATATTATTTATATGTATTTTATTTGTTTACTAGATATGGGTGTTTGAGAACTTCTGTCATCTTAATTCTTTTATTTGGATCCCATTCGAGGCATTTCCTTACTAAATCAACTAAATCAGGATCCAAACCAACAACAAGTTCATCAAACAATGGATAACTATATTCATTCTTGATTGAAGCGTCATCTCCAAAAAATTCAGAAAATCTTGGTGATGATCGCAAGTATTTTTCATCTGGTGGTCCCAGAGAGGAGTAGTACATTCCTAATTGCTCCTTTTCGTTATTTCCAGCATATAATGGGTGACCTAATTTCAATTCAATAATTACAAGGCCAAATGACCAGACATCAATAGCTCTTGTAAAAGATATATGTAGGATAACCTCAGGAGCTCTGTAAAATCTGCTTTGCATGTACTTGAAAAGCGGATTTCCTTCGTGACAGCAACAACCGAAATCTATGAGGTTTACAGTCGTTTTCTGGTCATTAGTCCATACAATATTTTCTGGTTTGATGTCGCAATGGACTAATCCGAGCGAATGGAAGAAGATTAAACTGTCACAAATTTGTTTTGAAACAGTTTTAAGCAATCCGTCTTCGTAACCTACAAAATTCTCATCTTTTTGGCATGTATATGTATCTTTCCAAAGCAATTCAAAGCAAAAGCAATGAAATCCTCTGAAATAAAATTTATCAATTACCGGTACAATAAAATGGGTAAATTTCGGATCGGCTTCTTGTATCATATCTAAAGCAACCTTCTCCATCAAGATCTGCTTATGTATTTTCGGTCGATCTTTTATTAATTTTACCGCAACAATTTTTTTAGTTTTATGATCATAGCATTTAAGTACAGAACCAAAGTTACCTCTGCAAATCTCTACAATTTGCTGGTATCTGTACTTAATGTGTTCATCTTTTTTGAAAACGAAGTAATCTGGATCGTCTTGAGTAACTGACTTGAACTGAGGACTCTTCCTTATGTAAAATATCTGCTTGTACTGGAAAACTTCAGATTTTTCGTGTCGATTAATTAGATCTGAAAAATCTTTAATAATCATTGCAGGAGTTACGGGAGCATTTGGAATAGATACATACTCAAGTGTATTCTGATGCAGATACTTTCGGGGTGATCTCGTATATTTTACCGGTGGAGATTGAGGACCTGCAGCTAAAGGCATCAATAACTGCTTATTTGACTTGCAAGCTAGTTGGTGGGGCCTTATTAGAAGAGGCCTGGGGGACTTCATTGCCACTGCGTTCTTCATAAGCACGAAGATCCCCTTTGATGCAAATTCTGTCGCTAAAATCTTGTAAATCATTGAAAAATATTAATTGTCTTTTCGCATGAAAAAAGAATCGTCTTTAGTACCCTTATCTATTTCCACATATAAATATCTAGAAAATACAAAAAACTGCTAATTGAGGAAATCTTTCTGATATGAGAATTAGATATTGAGGATGGAGAATGAATGCATTGGGTTCAAATAAGGAATAAACAAATAAATTTATACATACAATTATAAAAATGAATTACTCAAGGAAAGGAAGTGGTGATGATTCAATATTTTCAATATATTCTTCGGTAAAATCTGGAATGCTAGCTGGAAAATCAGCAAGAGCTTCATTAACTAAAGTAAGAAGGCCTTCACCACCACTGCTAATTAGCCAATTGAAAGTATTCAGAATCGAAACAGCGAAATTGGAAACCTGGGCCGGATCCACTCCTTCTAAGGATCCAATTTCTCTGAAGCAATCAGTGTTGCTCTTTGTTATACGTGTTGCAACATAAATTGATGCAACAGCAGCAACAGATGGAAGAGTTTGATCATAAATTTCGGAGAACATTGATACTTTCATGAACATATCAGCAACAGTTGCAATATCTCTGAACTCCTTCTTGCTTGTGATTGGCATGTAAAATTCTCTTGGGTTTGGTGCTGTCAAGTTGAATCGTAATGCTGAGCAGAATACACGCTCACAATCCAAGAACTCTTTCTCATTATATGAGTTTTCGCACAAGTAAATGAAATCAGATAACGCTGGTGTTGTTGTTTCTTGTAATTTAGCAGCAATCCACATGCTGGTAGCAGCAAAGAGCTGGAAGTGGCACCTCTTAATCTTGAGTGTTCTGCTGATTCTGTCAAATAAACCGATGGAAGTAAATAAAGTATCATCTGAGAACGCAAACTCTTTATGAACACGGAGTAACCAGTCTAAGATTGCTCTCCTATATTTTGTCTTGCATCTCTGATAATCACTTGGTGGAAGAAAGTCTTCTTCAGTAGATAAAATGTTTTTAACAATGAATGGCTTGTATTCCTTTAAAGTGCATATATCAATATCACCTTTAGTCGAGACATCTTGTTGTGGTTCCTTTTCGTAAATAACATCATCCTGTTCGAAGCTCAATGAATCATCAATATCAGAAGGATCACTGTATTCGCTATCATATTGTACGTACTTTTTATTTTGTGTGTAGTTATAATTTAATGGTCTTTTGTTTTCCTCGAGTTGATATCTGTTTGGTTGAGCCTTTTGCATTTTGATATACGTTTACAATTTCAGTCCGTTTGCTATATTGGTATTTTATGCACATCTAAAATAATTCCCCATAATCATTGCCTATTTTCATCGCCAAAATTTCACTGAACCATTGATTTTTTCCTTGGGTGAAAAGGTAACTAAACTCCTTTCGCCGATCCGATTTGCCCCATATTTAAAATATAGCTTGCATATGTAGAAGAAAAGCTAATTTTGAAGTACGCCCGAAATCCACCAACAGGATTTCGAGCTACTAAAAAGGTACTTTTAAATGTGATTTTTTTTTATAAAAAATTAAATTTATTTTAAGATCAGACTAAAAACTAATTTTATGGAAAATCTATATCGACAAATTTATTACTTATTGGGTATATAGATTTTTTGATTATGGAAAATCAAGGCTTTTGTCCTTTTCACATATCATACTGAGTGATTCCATTGCAATAATTGATGATTTCTCGTCTTCACAGACACAAATATCTAAAAATGTCTGATTTAATGGTAAAATGAAGGTTTCTACATCAGTAATCTTATTATTAACAAATCCACATGCAATGAATCGCAGAAGTGGAGCAATTTCTGGTGTAATTTCCTGCTGAATGATTTCAAATGTCTTATTTACGCCAATCATAACGAGATTAACAAAAATATCAGGGCATTCCGATTTCAGGAAGATAGGAAGTAAACCTATTGCATGCATTTCACAATTGGAGGTGAATTTTCATTCTGAATATAAGATAAAACCAAACGACTTGCTTTTGTTACAGCAACCTTATCCGATACAAATATTAAGTATTCTAGTATTGAAAATATGTCTTTTGTGAAATCTAAATTAAATTCTCCCAAATTATCGATTTCTTCAACGATCTTTGAGCCATCAATTTTATCATGGTTCATCAGAACCTTTAACGTTTTCTTTGTGGCCTTAAAAGCTTCAACACTCGTTTGAGATGCAGCAAAAATGTTGGAAATATACTCTTTTTCAAGCATAAGAGGATCAATATGATCTGATATGAGGCCAAATGCTAAGATTATCATGGGTTTGTTCGTGTTTTCGAACATTAATAACGTTGATAACCTAGAACTTATGAATGAAGGAACATTTTCAGATAAAGAAGATAGTGCATCACAAAACACAGCTGAAAAGAAGGCCGCAGATGAAGCCAATTTCGAATCATCTAATAATGGTCGTAAAATGTCCCAAATTGCGGCCAATTGGTCTTCATAAAACTGACTACTGTTAATGTGGTCTGCAAAATGACTATCAGGAAGGTAATTCTCAATCTGGGAAAAAATCTGAAACAATATTTGTCAACAAATCCTTATAAATGTCTGGATTCATGAGTGTGAATGATATTGCAAGGTTTGGAATGACTTTTAGTCTGTCTTCAAGAGATAAATCAGCTAATGAATTCAAATATTGAGTTAAACAATCAGGAACGTAAAATTTAAGCTCCGGAATGGTCATTTCTAATGATAATAAGATCTTACTAAATGTATAAACAATATCTGAGATAAATTTTGGTTCATTATTGATCATTGTAATAATATAACCAAAAATGAAGTCAATTAACTGCCTATGGCACTCAAAGTTTTCTAGAGATAGTGCAAATGAGCATAATTGTGTAATTAGTTGTGTTTGTTGAGCCAATGTTGCGTATTGAAAATTATCCATGATTATGTGTATAAATATTGTAGAATCCTCTGCAGATTGTATTGATATTTCATCTATATATGCTAACAGTAGAAACATTTTAAGGATATTATTCTTATTATTTTCGGAACGAATATATTCGAGAATTATACTTAGACTGCTCTTAGTTGAATGAGATACAATGGTAAATGCCTCATAAATATGCTGAATTACAAGTTTGTTCGTAAATTTTTCGAAATTTTGGATAAAGCAATGAATTAGAGCATCGATATCTTGTTTTTGAATTTTATTGACATTTTCTAGTAGATATATTGGTATTGAAGCGACAATTCCTAAAGTTACATCTAAATTTTCATCTTTATATTCATTATTTTCAACTAATTTTATGATTTCTTTAACATCTTGGAAGCCTACACCATACGGGATCTGGTTGGAATCATTTAATCCAAGAATTGTTTTCCCTAAGTTCCGGAATTCTTCCAAAGACATTAAAAAATGAGAATTTCGCTATGACAAGTAGATGTGATTTGATTCTGTACAACTAAATATTAATATATTTAAAACATTGTAGAATTAAAATTTTTGACGATATCAATTTATAAAAAAAATGCAAGCGAATCCTTTTAATAAAGCTAAGATACGATTTGCTTCACTTTGTCCACCTAGTAAAGTGTTCAACACAGGGAGCATGTGGGCTACTTGCATTAGCCGGTAAAGGCACAATTTATCTCTATAAAACTACTAAAAATGATATTTCTTTCTTATGATCCATTGAAATTCTAAATTCTAACATAACTTGCCTTAAATTCCACTATGAGCTACCTTATCTTGCAATTTCAGACGATTGCGGAAGAGTTTTGTTATGGGATTGTGAATCAAGTCTTACACTCGGAATCACTCGTCAAGTATCTGAAACTCAGTATGTATCGGAGCTTCAATGGTCCGGTAAAATCGTTTTAGGCTTTGCAGAACCAAATACAATTTATAGTATCGATTTTTGGCCGTATGAAGCTGAAGATCAAGCGAAAAACTCACGAATACTTTGGAAGATAGATGTTCCTGGTACATATACAAGGATGGCTGTTAATAGTTCAGATATATTCACTGCAATTCTATATTCTAATGGTCCATCCTTTACAATTATCACGTCAAAAAATGCCAAGCAGGCTCCAACATCTCAATCTCAATCCCATACTTTAGATAAATCAGAAAAAATCGTAGAAATTCAACATCATCCCCATACTAGTAATATTTTATTAATTATGCTTGAAGGAAAAATACTTACGTTTAACATAGCGACCAAATCTGGCCGAAATCTTGTAATCGATGAATCATCCCAATCATCTTTCCATAAACTGCTTCCTTCTTTAACAAATGACAACGAAATTGCAGTTTATGGTCAAGACTCGTCACTCAGTATCTATATCTGTAACGAAGACTACATTTTTACAAAATCAGGAACAATAAAATTGAAAAGAGAGCTGTTTGACTTAAAATCGAAGTATTTACCACTATCCGCTGCATGTAACCGTGCACTTCCCGAGCGATACATCGCGTTCTCTCCATCAAATGGCTTAGTTATGTTTGCCATAAAAGATGATATACCTTACGTCATCGCGCAGTCTCAAATTATACCACAGATACCAACCTGTTACGATTTCTACGACGGAATCCTTGCTTTCGGCACTCCAACCGGAAAGATAATTTTCGCAGACGTTTCAGAAGGGAAATACACACAGAACTACCTTGCATCCAGCACATCCATTGAAAAGATCAAGTTCCTTACCAAAGATGTCCTTCTGTGGTACTCAAAAACCGAGTGTGGATCAATAAATCTTCCCAAGCGCCAAGTTATTCCAATCCACACTCGCCTTGGCCCTGCCACAGACCTAATATGTTCAGAGGAGCTCGGCGTTTTCGTCCACGGCAAATACGACCTTGGTATTTTTTATGATGTCAAACAAAAGCCGATGACTCTTCAAACATCCATCACCGCTGTTGCAGTCCAAGTATCCAGAATACCAGCAACATGTTTCCAAGGCGATACTCCCAATTTCGCCGTATTATTATCTACCGGAGAAATCCAAGTCTACACATACAAGAACGGCATAGCACAGATGCCTGTTCTGAGGCTGCGTAACTCACGGGAGAACTCCAGGACAACTTGTCTTGCTTGGAAAGGCGATTGCATCATAACTGCTGACACAGACGGCGTAATTATGTTTTACGACTTTGCTTTCGGTACATCGAAGCAAACATACTCTCCTTTCATCGACATAGACAGGATAGAGTTCGAGAGATCATCCAGCGGATTGTACGTACACGCGAGAGACGGAAAATTTGGTTTTTCACTTGAAAAAGTGGAAAGTTGTCCTTTTTCTGTTTCCTCATTCGCTGTAACAGGAAATGGACTCGTCCTCGTCTCCCCGCTCAATGACGAAGCCGTGAAATTCGTTATTGCAAGAGACTGGAGATCTGTAAAAAGAATCACTTCACCTGCCCTCTTAAAACCGCTAAAAACCGCCCAGCAACGGTTAGAGCTTATGGGTGAGCAATTATTAACGAATCCTACTACAGGAACATGGTCAGAAGCACTTCAAATAGCTGAGATAGCTAATGACCATGGATTTCCAACTGATTCCATTATTTGGAAGTGTGTTTCACGTAGTTTGGGAGGTCCGAGGTTGCAAGCACGACATTCCATGTTTGGAGGGAAAGAAGAAGTTGTTTCCGCGTTGAGGATTCAATCTTCTCTGTTTTCTCCTGCAGATACTCCGATTTCTGCCATTTTCAACTTGTTGTTCAAGTTCAGAATGGGTGATAGAAGAGGAGCTGTCGAAGTTTTCAAGAGTCTCTCCAACAAAAGCGAGTTCACAATAGTGGCAAGCATTTGTTCGGCGTTGCTTCTGTGATAGAAACTGTAATTTTAACCGTTGAGTCTTCAGAAATCTTTGAAGGAGCTGCAATTTGGAAAATTGTTTTCACTTTAGGAGAATATAATTTTCTCTCAAAATATACAAAAATAATATACTTTAAAACCATCGTGACAAAATTCAAAAACGAAGAGTTCTTCTCTCCAAATTTTTTTCAAAATCAAAAAAATGAGATAAAAAAGTACGTTTGGAAAATTCATTTTTAGCATTTTAGGAATTTTCTCACTTTTCTTCCAAATTGACATCCTTAATTAAATTAAATTACACATTAACACCGGAGCCGGAATCATCTTGGATATCAGATGATGATTTATCTTTAGATGGTTTCCTGCAGAAAACGAAGTAGATGATGAGAATAATAAGAATAACAGCAAGAAGAACGCCAATAACAATACCAGCCTTCTGTCCACCAG